CTCAGACCACTACCTCGTACAAGGGGACAATCCAAATCAAATTAAAAGCTGTTCAGGGAAACAGGAGCTTGCAGACAGACCACAAGCCAAGTTCAACACTTCAAAAGCTGAAGGACCAGGCTACAAAGGGTACCTATCCTTCATTGCAAACATAAGGGAAAAAGCCGAGACACAAATCAACACCAACGAAAAGGTCAGCGTCGAAAAGCACTGGAACAAATTGAAAACGGTGTGGAGTCAAACCTGCATGGAAAGTCCTAGGCAGAATAAAGAGACAGGGACAAACAGTGGCTCTCTACCGGACACTTGGAAACTAATAGAAGAGAGAAGGGTGGCGAACAAAAGATTATCCAGTGCACCGACGGAGCAACAGAAACAGGGAGTTGAATGCAAGCTACAGTGCACTGAACAAAAGAGTGAAGAAAAGGGCCAGGGAAGACAAAAGAAAATATTGTGAAACCATGGCAAACGAAGCAGAACAAGCTGCAGGCAAAGGAGACCTCGCTACACGTATACCAAACAACTAGGCCACCTTTCGGGCAAAAGTTCGACACAGATTAAGCCAATAAAGGACGACAATGGAAAGTCAATCACCAAAGAGGTGGAACAGAGGAAGCACTGGGCTGAACACTTCAAAAGACTTCTAAATCGTCCGCCACCTACAACGCGTCCAACAATACCAACAACGGAAGCAGAACTACCAATGAACATCGACCCTCCGACGAAAATCCGAAGTCCTGAATGCTATCAAGATGCTAAAAGCTGGGGAAAGCGCCGAGGACCAGATGGGAATCCCAGCAGAAGCTTTGAAAATAGACCCAGAGACAACAGCGGACTTGATGACGCCCACTACTAGAGAAGGTGTGGAAAGAGGGGCAAAGTACCCGAGGATTGGGAAGAACGGATACTTATTCAAACTGCCAAAGAAAGGAGATTTGAGTCAATGTAAAAACTGGCGTGGAATTATGCTTCTGTCCATTCCAAGCAAAGATACTATGTCGCATCATCCTGAGAGAGAATTAAACAAGCCCTAGATGAAAAACTTTCGTCCGGAACAGGCCGGATTCAGGAGGAACAAGTCATGCATTGACCAAATCGCCACCCTACGAATTATCAGTTGAACAAAGTTTGGAATGGCAGTCACCTCTCTATCTCAACTTCATCGATTTTGAGAAAGCCTCTCGACAGCGTCGATCGAGAGGTGATTTGGCAACTACTTCGTTACTACGGGGTGCCGCCGACAATTATACATCTCATCCAACAGCTGTATGACAACGCTGCATGCCAAGTAATCCACAACGGGAGGCTCACGGAATCCTTCGAAATGAGGACGGGAGTGAGACAAGGCTGTCTACTGTCACCAATGATCTTCCTGATTGCAGTTGATTGGATAATGCGGCAGACAACGGCAACCAACGAGGGAACAGGCATAAAATGGACCGACACAAAAGCCTTGGAGGATTTGGATTTCGCCGATGATATATGTCTGATTTCTCACAAACTGGAAGATATGCAAGTGAAAAGCAACAAATTGGCAGAAGAAGCAGCAAAGATAGGACTTCAAGTGAACATAGACAAAACAGAGGTAATGAAGATTCCTGGCCAACATCAACAGCAACAACCGACAACAATCAGCATAAATGGGAGGAACCTGAAGGAAACAACTTCTTTCACCTACCTGGGAAGCATCGTCTCAACTACAGGAGGAACTGACGAGGATATCAAAGCCAGAATCGGAAAAGCAAGACAAGTTTTCATTTCTCTCAAGTCTATGTGGAGGTCAACAGCATTCAGCGTCAAAAATAAGATCCGGATTTTCAACTCCAATGTGAAGTCAGTACTACTATACGGATCAGAGACTTGGCGTGTCACAAAGAGCAGCTCAAACAAGCTACAGACCTTCATTAACAAATGCCTTCGCTCAATACTCAAGATCAAATGGCCGGAGAGGATCAGCAACAAAGATCTCTGGGAGCGAACCAACCAGGAACCGATCGTGAAACAAATAGGCAGGAAGAAATGGAGATGGATTGGACACACTCTGAGAAAACCATCAAGTGACATCACTAGACAAGCCATCGAGTGGAACCCGAAAGGGAAGCGACGAGTTGGTCGTCCAAGGGTGACCTGGAGGAGATCATGTGAAGAGGAATTGAAAGCGTGTGGGCAGACTTGGAGCCAGGTGAAAACTACAGCAGAGAACCGAACGCAATGGAGACGCATGGCTGAAGCCCTATGTTCCTCTAGGAATTAAAGGAAATAATAATAATAATAATACCAGCACAACCACCATCACCAGCACTATCGTCATCATCACTCTAATCGTCGTCCCATCAATCAGGAACGTATCACAGATTATCAAATAAACCCAGATCGTGTCAAATCAATTATCTTTTTCACACCATCTCCTTCTCAGTCACTCAGTCACTCACTCATTCAACACACGTACAAACACACCCACACACATACACAACTCGACGAAATTCGTGTATAAAATGTGAAGAGAACAGCGTGAGTGTGTGTGTTGAACAGTGTGAAGCAAGTCGATCGATCAGTCATGAAACAGTCAATCGTCCTCCACATCGTCTCCGTCTTCGTCGTCAGCGTCGCTCTGTTGAGCATTCTCTCTTCCAATTTTGAGTCACATGGCTGCATGTCTGTGCTACATCCACACCGTTGGCTGGCTGCATGACTGGTTTCCAGTCAAACATCACATCAGTTAGTCCACTACTCACCCGTTCCCTAGTCACCAACACAAACACTCAAGCGCTCACCCCACTCACTCACTCACTCACTCA